GAAAAAGGGAATAAATATGATATTTAGGGTATAAATATAAGATTTAGGGTAATAAAATAAAAGTGAGATAATTATACAATTAAATAAAAATAATGATAATCAAGTGATAAATTATAAAAATTAAGAAAAAGAAAATTTTACATAATCAATAAAAGATTATTGAATTAGAGAAATTTATGTTACTATGATAACAATATATCTTTATTTTAAAGTACAAGAACAATATCTAGAAATTCGAATAAAAATTAATAGTAATAGACTTCAATTTTTAACAAATATTATTGAAACTCAACCAGAAACAATAAGTATTATAAACTCTTTTGATCTCTTTAGCTTTTAAAAAAAATAATATCAGATTTGCTCTCAACAACAGACATTGATAAAATACTAAAATAATTATTTGAAAGCTCAAGTAAAATAGTTCAACATAAAGAAAATTCAACAAGAATGAATAAAATCTGAACATCTTTAGAAGATATAATCAAAACTATAAAAAATACTTTTAAAAATAATTAATTAGTAAAACAACTATCACAATTATCAAAAATAAAAGAATTATTAGAAACTTATAAAGAATTATTAAAAGACAGTAAATATATATCTTTAATTATTATAAAAATTAAAAGAATATTATCAAATCTCACTAGTAACTATAAGTTATCTAGAAAATAATATTTTGAATCTAGATGATTATTTAAAAATAAAATTAGTATTATAGATACTACTTTAAAATATATATTAACTTTATGACTTTATTAATATTTTAAATATCATGAAAATATACTTTGATCATATAGAATAGACAAATATTTAACTTCAAGAACAATTAAAAAAATAAGCCAAAAATCTAATAATCAATTAAAAGAAAAAATATTTGAATATTTTAATTTTATGGAGCAAAATCTTAATAGTAAGAATCCTGTTGTATAATGAACTTTGATTAAATATTTTATTGAATTATTTATATTTAATATTATTGGATTATAAATATTTTATATCTTATTGGAAGAATTTAATCATGTGAAATAAGCAAATGAACAAGCGAACAAATGAATAAACAAGTAAATAAATAAATGAATGAGTAAATAAATAAGCAAATATTAAACTAATAGAATTTAAGTAATCTAGTGAATATGAATTCATATAGTTGATGAATTATATTTTGAATTTGTATAAAAGTAACATGTATTATAGTTATTAAAATTAGATTAGAACAAGTTTTTCAATAGTAATATTTTTAATTATTATCTTATAGCTAGTTATCACATAGTTTTAATTGTTCAAATGAGCAAAGTTTGCATTTTATGTAGAGTAGGTAATCAAGTGCAAACTCCTCTCTACAATTTCTTTTGACAAAGTATTCTTGTTTCTTGTATAATTGCTTCAGTACCATTATTATAAGTATTATATAAATTTTGAATTAATATTATAGTAGCTTAAACAAGATTACCAGGAGTGCTATAAAAGTTATTAAATTAATACTAAATTATTTAAACATGTTGTAATGAAATCTAATAAATATTATATGAATAAAGAAATTATTATTATAATTTATAAACCTGTCTTTAAGATTGTATTGCTAATAATATATTGCTCATAAACTTATCTTCAATTTTGTATTGCCAATAATATATAAATATATCTTCAATCTTATATTGCTAATAATACAAATATTATAATCTCTATAATTTTGACTTTGAGATTTTGAGAACTCTTTTTAGCAGTTCAGATTATTATATTTAAAGAATATAACTGTTATCAATCTTTAAGTAATTTTGTCACTAGTACTTTTAGTACTCATTCACATTCAGTCTAATAGTTATAAAGTATTGTTAATACTTTGAATTGTCATTAAGACATTGAAAGTTTTTCTTTGAATATTTCTTAAATTTTATAAATATCTTTGAGTATTTCAAAAGTCAATCAAAATGGTAATAATATAATAAAGAAAACTTCTATTTAATATTGAATTAGTTCACCAATTTCCTGATAATTTCATTTATAAACTTTGTTTCATTATTTAATTATATTTCTTTTGAATATTCATGTTGACAAATTATTTTTTCAAAAATAAACTTAGTAATTATTATTACTTGTTTATCTAATATTGCTCTAGATTAGTGAATAAAATAGTTAATTGCTATCACAATATATTAATTTTCTTGTATTGTAATAAAACAGGATTCAACTAAATTAATAACTATTCTTTTAAATAGTTATTCAATTTTAATGAAATATAATAGTATTTTTGTTGTTCTAGTTTAAATAAATTGACAAATAAGACAAAATCTTTAATAATAGTATCTATTTTATTTTGCTACAATTTGTTAATATATTATATCATATTCAAAATATTCAATTAATATATGTATTTGAATATTATTTTAGTTTTATATATTCTCAATTTTTAAAGAATTTGTTGATTCTTTTCTTTAATTTTTCTTGTATAATTATCCATTGATAACTAAAAGTATTTGAATTATTATTGTAATTATTATTTTTCTTTTTTCAAATATTCTACAGGATATTGTAAAGTTTCTAAATAATTAACTAATACTAAATATTATTCTAATTATATGATTATCTTTAATTAAATCATAATAAGATATTAGTATTTTGGTTAACTTTTTCAGATTGATATATAATTATAAAATTGTATTCTATCATTTTCATAATTCATCTTGCAATTCTTGATTCAGAATTTGATTATTTGTGAAATAATTATCTCAATACATTGTAATTAATTGTTACTTTAAATAAAGTTTCAAGAAAATACAGTCAAACTTCTCTATAGTCCCCACCCTCAGGAAAGCAAAATTTGATGACTATAGAGAGGATGTAATTATAGAGAGATTTTTTACTATATTTATATATAAATGGAAAAGCAAAATAGAGTGACTATAAAGAGTTATAACTATAAATAGGTGTGACTATAAAGAGTTATAACTATAAATAGGTGTGACTATAGAGAGATTTGACTGTAATATCTAAATTGTTTAACTGTTTATATAATAGCTAAAACTTCTTTTTTAGTTGTACTATAGTTCTTTTTACTTGGTTTTAATATGATATTTGCATATACAACAACTCTTTCTTTTTCATCAGCATCTCATTGAACTAATATTACTTCAAGTTTATTATCAGAAGTATCAATATATAGATAAAATTTTTGTGTAAAGTCAGGATAAATTAAAATGAATATTAAAATAAGTTTTTGCTTGAGTTCTTGAAATGCTTTTTCTTGCTCTTGTGTTCAAATAAAAGTGATATTATTTTAAAGTAATTTGAATAATGGTAATACTATTTGTGAAAAATCTTTCTATAATATTCAGCTAGTCCAAAAAAAAATCTTAATTGTTTTACTGTTCTGAATTGAGAAAAATTTTTGACTTTTTCAACAGTTAATAGATTTGGTGAAATTTCTTCAGCAATAATTATATGTTCAAGAAATGGTAATTCATTTTGAAATAGATTACATTTTTCTGGATTAAGTAATAATACTTAAGAAAGAAAAAACATTTTTTTAATATTTAACTTGCAAATTAAATATTTATTAATTTTTATTTATATTATTAAAAAATTATTTTACTAATTTTTACTTTTAATTAAATAAAATATTCAAACTCTTCTCTATCTCCTTGAAAATGTTCTTATTTTTCTTTATATTTTCATTTTCATTAAAATCCTTTAGCATGTGTTTGCATTTTTTTAATTTGTTTTAAAAAGATTAATGTTTTAAAAATTTTCTTTTTTATAAAATTCTTCATAATAAATACACTTCCTGTTATAACATGCTAAATGATGACTGTAATTACCAACAAAAACTTTCATTAAACAGGTCTAGTTAAACTTTTACGCGAAACTTTTATCACATTTTTTTCATGTTAGAATTTTAACTGATCAATTATAATCTAATAAATCAGGATATGCAGATTACATATCTGCAGCCAATAAATAGAACTTCAGTCATGCTGTTTAACAATGATATTGCACGAAAAACGGGACCGTCTGGATAATCCATTTTTCTATCCGTCTTGAAGCACTACATGTATTAGATAAAATAAAAAATAAATACTATATTTTCATGTACGTACTCATTTTTATATGTAATGGTTGACTTAAGAACATGTTTTTTTTTACATGAAAGCGTAATACGTATTTATCTTTTATTTCAAATGGTTTTGATCTTGGATATATAAATTCTCGAATTTCCCACACTACATAAAATAATATATCGATATATTTAAAATGTGTCCATATAGATTTCTGTGATTATAGCGATAAAGTTAGAATAATAAAGTTTCAAATAAAATTAAATTTAGGAATTGGTCAATTATAAATTCAAAAAAACCCCCCAAATTAAGGAATTACACGTATTACGTATGTAGTCGAAACGAAAGAATTACACTATCCCAAATTAATAAAATAAATGATAATTGAGAACGATAAAAAGCACATGCAATACAGTGGGTGATAGCATCCACTCTGGATTTTTATGTATGCTTTTCATGCCCATAAAAATTTTTTCATTTTTCCCACACACAGAAAATACATGAACACAACATTTACAATCTCTGATATAAAAACCAGCCATCTTTTTGATAGGATCATTACTAAGAAAAATCATGGCGGCCACCGACCACAACAACATTGAAAATAAGCTGTATCCAGTTCCAGAATGTCTAACGCCGTCTACTCCAACCCCTTATGTCACCTCGATCGAACAATATCAAAAGATTTACAAGGAGAGTATCACGCATCCGACCGTTTTCTGGGGAAAAGTATGTAGGAAATATTTGATGATTCCTTGATAATATCTATATTAATAAAGCAGAATATCTTTATTCAATGATTAATCCAAAATCAATTGATCTTTTTATTGTCTAGCTTGCCAAGGAAATGCTTCATTGGCATAAACCTTTTGAAACTGTGGTTTCTGGCGGATTCTTACATGGTGATGTTACCTGGTTTGCCGAAGGGGAATTGAATGCTTCCTATAATTGCGTGGATCGTCATGCAAAAGAAAATCCCGATAAAGTATGTGAATTATTCTGCGTTACAATAAGACTGGATTTAATAATTTCTTCATTCTCTCCAATCCTAATAATAGATTGCAATCATCCATGAAAGCGATGAACCGGAACAATCTCGAAAGATTTCATACGGAGAACTATTACGTGACGTTAATCGTTTAGCCAATACCCTAAAAAGCCTCGGCCTACGAAAAGGTGATACGGTCGCGATTTATCTCCCGATGGTACCTGAAGCAGCGGTTGCTTTCTTGGCATGCGCAAGACTTGGTATAATACATTCTGTCGTGTTCGCCGGATTCTCTGCAGAAGCATTACGTGATCGAATTCAAGACGCAGCCAGTAAATTGGTGATCACCGCTGACGAAGGTCGTCGTGGGGGTAAAACGATTCACATGAAAAAAATTGTAGATGCCGCGGTAAACGAATGTCCAACCGTTGAACATGTGCTTGTTTTTCGTCGAACTGGTAGCGAAGTACCATTTCAAGCACCACGTGACTTATGGTGGCATGAAGAAATTAGAAAACATCGACCTTATTGTGTTCCCGAGGTTATGAACTCAGAAGATCCACTGTTCTTGTTATACACTTCGGGTTCAACTGGAAAACCAAAAGGTGTCTTACATACAACTGCTGGATATTTGTTGGGTGCAATGACAACCTTTAAATACGTATTCGATTATCATCCTAATGATGTATTTGGATGTATGGCTGATATCGGATGGGTTACTGGTCACACTTATATTGTGTATGGCCCATTATGTAGCGGCGCTACAACAGTTTTATTCGAATCAACGCCAATTTATCCGACTCCAAGTCGTTATTGGCAAGTTGTGGCCAAACATAAAATCACGCAATTCTATACTGCTCCAACTGCTATTCGTCTTCTACGTAAACTTGGTCACGAGCATGTTGAAGGTCATGATCTGTCGAGTCTGCGGGTAATTGGCACAGTTGGTGAACCAATTAATCCAGAAGCTTGGGAATGGTATAATGAAGTAGTGGGTAAAAAGAAGTGTGCTATTGTGGATACGTATTGGCAGACGGAAACTGGTTCAATTGTACTTTCTCCTTTACCTGGTGCTATTCCAACTAAACCTGGATCTGCTACGTTTCCCTTTTTTGGTATTGCACTTGCAGTACTTGATCCAGTGACCGGTCAAGAATTAGAGGGTAATGGCGTGGAAGGTGTATTAGCCATAAAACAACCATGGCCGTCAATGACACGTACTATCTACAATAATCACGATCGATATCTCGACACTTATCTAAACGTATACAAAGGATACTACTTCAGTGGAGATGGTGTAGGGAGAGACAAAGATGGTTATTATTGGATTAGAGGTCGAGTCGATGACGTGATAAGTGTAGCCGGCCATCGTCTATCATCAGCCGAAATCGAATCCGCATTAATTCTTCACAAAGCAGTTGCTGAAACGGCTGCGATTGGCGTTGACGATGAGCTCACTGGTCAAGCTGTAAACGCTTTTGTCACCTTAAAACCAAAATACACTGATGTAACCGACGCTAAAGAGTTGATCTTGCAAGTGCGACAAACGATTGGTCCATTCGCCGCCCCTAAAAAGATTTATATTGTAAGTGGTTTACCTCAAACTACTAGTGGGAAAATAATGCGAAGAATTTTACGAAAAATCGTGGAGAATAAGGAGGATCAGTTGGGCGACTTGAGTACTTTGTTGAATCCTTCGATAATTCCGGTGTTGATCGAGAAAGTTCGTAATTCTTAGGAGCGAAAAATTGATTCTCGAGAATTTACATACGGGATTATAATGAATTCATTCCATCATTTATCATCAATGTTAATGAAATGGAAAACTATTAATTATCATGTTTCAAATGCGATCGTATGCTTTTATTTACAGTATTTGTTTCTTTCTTAGTTCATGAAATTTTGTAATTAGCATTTTCATGGTAGAACAACCAAAAATTTTCAAACATCAAATGATTGTTATTATTAAATTACGTTTTATTTTATCAAAAAAAAATTGTTGAGAAAATTAAATTTGATGCGTCATATTCCACTAGCGTATATAAAAAATACGTAATTAATAAATAATTCAAATTGCATACGGATCATTAAGAAATAATATTACCTGATAATAATACAATAAAATAGCCGCAGGTTGTCCCACCAAACAAAAACTCATCCAGAAAATCACATTTCCGAACGTGCTTCCTTTTCCTCTCCATTTTTCCAACTGTTAATAAAAACGTGACTATTCAATACCAATAAAATGATCGATCCAGTAATAAAAATACCAAAAATTCTTACCGGCTTGGTCATTTCTATCAAAGGTATTTGTGACTATTTCAAAATCAAAAAATTTTCCAAATTAACATTATTTTAACTAACTAACCACCTTATATGAAGATATAATTAATAAGAAATCAATTATTACCATCATGCCTACAAAAGCAAACCCCTTAAGCGAATGAGTTGGAATACCAATCAAGAATTCATGGAATGCAGCAGATAATGTAAAGACGATAAATGATGCCACTCTTGGGGACACACCATTATCCACCAATGGAAGATAGACGTGTCGTTTAAACCATTGATATACCGGTCGATTCCAAAGACGCCAATAAGTGCCCAAAGAACCAGAATTCCACCAAGCAAGATAAAAGGATCGATCACCAAATCGAAGTACCTAATGTGGTAGAATAGAGAAGAAATATAAGTTATGTATGAGAATTTTCAAAAAAGAGATTACTCTACACTCACTTCAGCAAGTAGATTCAATGTGCTGTGAAATACAGCGTAAAACATCAACAGCCAAATTGCCAAGCTGATTGTACTCAATTTAAGTACTCTCTCCACGATGCTCACTAATGAAAGCTCGTCTATCGCCCTTAAACTGTTGCGCAAAGTAGGATTCGCATATTGTTCAACCAAAAAATACATCATCGTACACGCGATCGCAATCTCACCACAACGCTTCAAAAAGAATCCAGGTCGGAATCGATCAGGCGATCGTGGATAAGAAGGCTGGTAACATAAAGTTGGGGCAAACCAGAAATAAAATAAATCCTTCAACGTGATATTATTCGGATATTGAACCGAGTAAACATCGATAATTGGAATTTTCGTTTCTTCTTTTGATGAAGATGAGATACCGCCGATTAATTGCGACAGACGAAGGTCACGATTAACAAACGCGTAGGAGATTAGTTTGAAGAAGAGTGCGAGTCCGTTAAACAACGCGATTGAGCCAAGAAATGGGTGAAATATGATAAAGTAGGACACTGCGGACGGGAATAGCAGAATGAAAGTGATGTTGACGGTGTGTAGTATTCCAGCTCGTTTGTTGATGGATTTTATTTTTGGGGTGATAGTTGGCTCTTTTCCTTCTTTCTTTGCGAGTTTAATTTCGTTTAGGAATGGGCGAATTGTAATTTTCTCGATGTAGAATGCGAAGATAATGTGTAGCGGTAAGACAAGAAAGCAAATCATTAAACATGTGTAATCCTTTTTTGAACGCGTAAAGGAAGTCAATTAGTTTGATAGCATACATAAATAATTGTAAATTGGTAGTAAAGAAACACATACATAAGGCGCCGCAATCGTTCCAGGTGTAGATAATAAGAAACCATACTTTAAAAAGTTTTCGATAATTAATCGAAGGTTATTCGCTGCAAGAATTAGCACTTTATTGATAATGGCCAAGAGATTGTTTAAAAAAGAAATTTGGAAAAAAATACATATTAAATAAGTGATTAACTTCCCGACGTTTGAAACAAAAGTAAATTACATACTTGCTAAATTCAAAAAACCACGATAACTCTCTGGAGGCGCCTCCTTTGATAGAACAGAAGGCGCATTCCTTACGTGAATTGCATGCGCATGGTTAGTGAAATTATTATCAGAGGTTTCTTCCGCAGAAGAGACACTTTGTCTGCTACTTTCTTGAGACATTGTATCAGGTAAGAATATGGACGAGAACGTGTTTCATCTTTTTAATACTTTTTTGGTGGATTTAATTCTAATTCACACGTGAAAATGTGAAAATGTGAAAAAGAAGATTCTTTGATTAACATTTGGATCATGCATTAAAAAACCATTCTATTAACGCATAAAAAAAGTTGATCCGTTTTTATAGAGAAAATGCCGTGGTGATCATGTGTAGAGATTAGGTTAGGTTGTGTGATACAAGCTACAGTGCAGAACACTTAAAGATGCCAATCACGTGACTTGTACCGTTTTTTTGGACGGAAGGTCTGCTTAAGAACAGTGTAGAATCATGTGATCTGTCCGGTCCAGTGCCGGACAGTGCAAAATCATGTGTTCTTTCCGGACCAGTACCGATGGGTTACGTCGATCATACCCGGCCACGCGTAAATATAATCCACAAGTCGTGATAATCGATTTTGCTAGAAAAAATCAAGTGTTTCTGCACACTTGAATGTTCTTTCTGTATAATTGATTTCTTTAATTAAAATAATTAAAAAAAAACTTAATGTTTTTGTATAATTAATTTCTTTAATTAAAATAATTAGTAAAACTTACTATGTTAATAAAATGTACAAATATATATACTAAAAGAATTAGAAAAGGATGTTCTAAATATTGTCACCATTTTCAGAGTCATTGCCTATAATGATATTTCTAAAATATGACAAGTAACTGTGTTTACATGAAAGATCAGATTACTAAACTATCAAAATTTATAATTTAAATATTGTTATCATTAATAGTCTTTACAGATAAAGGTCTTTACTAAAACAGTAGACAGTAACTGTGTTATGTGAAAAAGTGTGAAGGAATAAGCAAAGTGTTAAAATAATCTTCTAATCCTATTATTTATTAGCTAAAGTGCTAAAAGATTCATAAAAAATCTAACAAGTTCACAAAGAACCTTTAAGAATAAAATGTATTTTATAAGATAAAAGAAGTTCACCAAGAACTAAATGAATTTATCAAGAATTCGAAGTATTTATAAAGGATTTTTAAGAAAGATAGGAACACAAAGTTCTTTAATATTTTAACGAATACTTCATCAAGAAGTAATTTAGATTCACCAAAAATCTTTATTATTAATCAAGAAAAGAAAACACAAAGTAATCAATTCTTCTGATGAACACACAATAAGTCAGTTATTATATTTATTTAAAGGATAAAAACAAAAAAACTTTATTAACACTAAGTTAATCAAAAGTTATTTATCTAAGACTTCTTTTCTCTCTTTTAGTTAAGATACATGCTATTTTTATAATAATTATTTGTTACTCAATCTTTTTAATCTAGAACTAATCTATTCTATTTAAAATGAGATATAATTCATTCTATAAACTGTTTTACACCTTTTACTTGAGTGTAATTAATTTACTATGAATTACTATTAAGCTAATTTGATTCTTGAAAATTAATAACATGTGTTTTTCATACTAATAATAATAATATGAAAATAATATAAACTAAAAACAAATAGTATAAATCAAAAATGAATA